GTAACAGAATTAGAAATACGTGTGCCATTGGAAAAAAAATGGAGCATGAATCAAACATAGATAGCCATGGACCTAGATGAAATAAAGCGCATTTATTTTCCAAGTTTTCTATGACCACCATGATACTAAGCATTGGAAAATATATTGGAATTTCATATATGAGTTCCCTTGGTGTGTTAAAGTAACATATGTAAGTGTGAAGGGTTCTCTTGTTCATGTTCAAGTTACGTTGTACTGTACCTTGTGAGGGGCCTGTTCTGTGGGAACATGAATATTACACCAATGCACGTCTTAGAACAGTAAAGTGGCTTTGTCGGGGAGAACCCATCGCAGTTCCAGGGCATCGTGCTGACGTTGCTTGGTGCGGTACTTCCTCCACTGACGGGCGAAATTTCCGCATTTATCCAGGAGGAATCGGGATCTGCTGTTCTCACTGCACGTTGAGCAAAAACCCGCCCACTTGCCTGCCCAGTTCGTCACTTCTGTATGCTGGTCATGCTGTCAGTCGTCTGCAAGCTGACGCGTTCGTCCCAACCCAACCTCCATTGCGGCTGGCCTGCTGATCGACCACTGCATTGCGGTGACGGCACTGGATCGTATCTCTCAATGCTATGATGAAAATCCTTCAGAGCGGCGTTGTTTAAACATTAAAAGCTCCCAGTTCTGTAAAGGTGCATGTTGAAGGGACCGGGTCCAGGGTTTTAGTGGTGTCGGATGAAGTATTCACTCTAAAACTGTATGAAGTTTGCGAGATATGGGGCGCGTTGGAGCTGGTTGCAATGTGTTTGTTTGGTTTGAAGTTACAGAAACACTCATGCATTATTTCTCACCGAATTCGGAAGATGTTTGTGAGTGCAGTGTCGGAATGATGTGCCACAGTCGTGTGCCCACTGGAATCTGATGGCGGTGTCACAGTGCTCCCGTCAGCACGCGACTCACGTTTGCTCGAAGTTACGTGCGGAATTTCTCACGTGTTCATCACCACACGGATTGACGATCAATCACCCCCACCATCTCCTAGAATCATGGTCGATGCGGTGATCCTCACGTGAAATTTGATTCGTGAAAATCTAACCGCGCCCCAAAAAAAAGCACTCTTTTAGTTCTACCACTTCATCAATAATTTCGCACTGGCCTAGTTCTATATCTCGTACAATAGTTCTATATATCTGTAAACATAAGCAAAAGCGCAACCCATGCGAGTTTCAACAATGCTAAGGACTTGTTTCAGTTCGCCTTTGATTGCCTCGATCAGACCCGATCTATAACTTCCAGGAAGTTCTGAAGGCGATTTCAGGCAATCGGGGGCAATCACCTGATCGCGATCAGCTGATCGCCCCAACACGATCTACCGCCTAAAACTGCCCAATCAAACACAATCCCACACAATCACCGACGATCACTTGATTGCATTCGATTGGGGTACTAAGCGACGCTGGCGAACTGTTACATTGTTCGGCATTGATTCGTGAATACACCGCCGTCGTGAATCTGGAACTGCAGCGTTTCTGGGCACCTGCTTTCGCTAAATTTCCATGCCGAGGCGTTCGCAGTCGCCAAAGTGGGCCTGAAAGAGGCAGGAAGAGTCTGACGCTTGCTGTATACCCTCCTGGAATATTCGAAGAAACTTTTAACTGATCGAGCGGCGCGAGCTATTCAAACAAAGGCAACCCGATCAGATCAGCCCTGACCAGATCACAGCCGACCAGACCCAAACCGAGACACTTCATAAACACAATTTTGTTTGATTTACAGAAGAATGTACTAATCTAGTATGTTACCTCCAGGTTTGCCAATTGTACAGTTCCTTCTCCGTACGGAACGTTGGACAACGGGAACTCCCTGCCCAGACTCTAGGCTGGGCTGGACCCTGACAGCTGCATCACTGTGACTTCCTTTCAGTGGTGGTTTGGGGGGGACAAGTCTACCTAGACTTGTAGACTTGTAATCACGTGAACTGTTTGGTTTCAAACACCCTTTGTTCGCTTTCGGGTAATGAGATGGGCACCAAGAGACTTCAAGGCTATTGTTTTGCAGCCAGAAGCATTTCAAAGAAACTCACACTAGTGCTCCGAAATAGAGGGCAGATCGGCATTGACCGGGTTGACTGCCGTCGTCTCACAAAGGTTATGATAGATTATACCCTGAAAAAAATCAAAACTACTCGTATAAAAAAGTTTGACCAAGGAGAAGTACCCTCGCGCGGTTAAGATAGCGGCAGTTAAAATACCGCGGAAATAGGTGTAGGCAGGCGAATGGGCTGAGATGGGTTTTGTGTGACGGGTGTCCCTTTGGTTCGCCAAAGGCCAACAGTGAATAGTGCTGCTGAAAGGCCAAAGGAATGGGAGTGGATGGGACTCATCACAGAGGTCATCTCATCTCACTCGTCAGCCTTCCATCCAATCCGCTTCTGCCCCATCCCCAACCCCCCCGCAGCTCCGCTCCACCCCACCACCCCCACTCTGACGCCGCTGTGCTCAACATGATTGTCCGCGAGGTGTGATGTGGTTGGCTGTCATGTCACGCGGATCAGATCGCACACCTCACAACCTCACGCACGATGTGGGTGGATCCAGCACTTCCACCAAACCCAAACGCGGGTTTCAGCGCAGTGCGCAGGAACAGCGGCAAAATCGGGGTCGAGTGGGGGATGTCGGCGCGTACTTGTGAGATTTTGCCAGCGCCGAACCCCAGGCAAGTAGCCGTCACCTATGTTACGCCTGGAATGCTGTGTACTCGAGCAGAAAGCACACCACTCCCTTGCTTCAACTGTGCTGCCCATCCAACTGAGGTATAAAGACTGAGGCGTGGAATCAGGACGTCATTCCTCAACACTTTCCTCGCTCTGCATCAGTTTACTCCCTCACAAACAGCTTCCCTCCTTAGCTTCGCGTTAACTTAGGTCAAGTCAACCCTCTCGAGCATCAATCAGCTCCGAGTATCCTTCAATCGCCTTTCAAGTACGCAATGAATTTCGCGGGCTTGTCTAGTACCACCGGTTTCAACAGGCTCGACCAATACGCGAATAGTGAATCTTTCGCCCGAAAGAGCCGCGCCGCGGTGCGCATTGTTCGCCCCCCTATCGACGTCGCGGCGGACGCGTCGCTCGCGGCGTACCTCCCGTTGTTCCACGCCCTCTCTCAGATTAAGCAGCAGCAGTCGTCCGCGGTTTCCGCTATTGATTCTCCGTCGCGCGATAACAACGCGTGCAGCCCACGTCTCTCAAGCATCAGCCACGCCACCAGCTCTCACAGCAAGACCATCCCGGCGCGTCGCGAAATGCTGTCTTCTGCTGCGGGCTCTCGGAAACGCGCGAACAGCGATATCGACGTAGCTTCTGGCGCCAACGCTCTGCTCACGCTCCGCGTCGCCTCCGCGTCGTGCGCTGCGGAAGATAGCACAGACAACAACGCCGTTTCCGGCGTCGACGCGCAACGCTCGCAAAACTATGCCGCTCCGGCGACCGCGTCGCCCAAGCGCAATTTCGTGGATTTAGACCTAAACGCCTCCCCCGATGCGCAACACGAGGTGGAGCAGAAGAGCGCGTGCACCGCCGGATCGGCGGAGGAAGAAAAGCCGCAAAAGCGGAAGCGCGGCGGGCAACAACCGATCAAGACTTGCCCTAAATGCGGGAAGCAATTTTCCACAGGGCAGGCGCTCGGCGGGCACATGCGGAAGCACTGGGACGGCCCTCTAAACGTGAAAACGAAGCAGCTCTTGGCGCATACCAACGGCACGAGCGTTAGCGATACGTCGGAGCTCGTTATTGCGGCTCGCGTGGCGAAACAGAGGAAGCTCAGCGACAGTGGCGATGTGAAAGGCGTGAAGAATGTGAAGAGGGACCTTGACCTCTCCCTTAGTCTCTGACTTCAGCTGTAGCTATGGCTCTCATCTGTGCACTTGTTTATAAGAAGTGTCTTAGATACTAGCCTGTTCTTTCTAACGCGTTACAAATATTATTTTACTACATCCTCCATGCACACGTAACAGCATCATCACACGTCTGGTGCAAGCTCTAGCATCCGTGGGGTCATCTCATCTCCCCATGCCCCCCACCCTGTCGGGCAGAGAAAAGCCTTCAACACAACCAAACATACGGTATGCCACAGGCTGATGAGGACTCGACATGGTCTCACACTGGTGAAGATGTGGGTGGTAATCCTGCCTACAATGCTTTCCTCATGCTGATTCTCAATCTGGTTGCTTGAATGGTGAGGACGCCAGCCAAGTGTAGTATACACAACCCATGTTGGGTGGAGGACACATATGAAGGCAAAAGCTACAGTGTACAGGTGGTGAAGCATGCGCTAGGGCCAGCCAGGCGAGTCGTGAATGTGGAGCTTCCCCATCCGAATGACACTCATGAATCCAAACGGCATTGGCCAGTTGTACCAGCTATAGTAGAACGTATCCGGAACTCTCTTCGGCCCGACCTTGCTTCTTGGGCAGCTCTTGAATTTTGGGAACTTCTTGTAGATGACCGACTCCTTGGAAGTAATCTCGAAGTCGTTTCGCCAGTAGTGGGCAAACTTAGCCCTCGCAGGCCTGGAGATGTTGACTTTTAAGTAAGTGTTGAGTCTCCCGCTCTCCACTGTAGGCAGCCTCTCGCAGTATCTGAAGTCAAGGTCGTGGTCTGAGGTCTGCACTGTGATCAGCTGAATGGTATTGTTTGTGGGCAGACCGCTACAGTAGCCGGTCTTTCGTCCTGACAAGGTCCCTTGTCTGCCTATGTTGCATAGATACCCGTTGATTGCCCTCTCCTTGCATACGGTAGGAAACCATGGGTACTCCTGCAATGCGGGTCACATGGGAATCGGGAGAGTGAGGTAACCGGGAAGGAGGGGAGGGGTCGAGAATGAGGGGAGAGGATTGAGGAAGATAAGTAGCTGCTAAAAGGTGGGGGAGAGAACGACGAAACAGGGGGGATGGAGTGACAAAGGGAAGGGCTCAGGGGGTTTATCAACGAAGGGCTCAGGGGATGGAGTAACGGTGAGACACACCTTCAATATCGCGGGTGAATTGTAGTATTTTAGCCGCATTTGCTCCCAGTACATCCCAGAGTGTGTGAGGCAGTTGTTGCTTGTGGGCGTGAAGCACGCCACCCAACCAGGCGTATTCTGCGTCCCCTTCATAATCACGTCTGTTATAACGTTCCTGCAAGCACGATTACAGTTCCAATCAGAGAACACATTCAAGCACACGAGTTTCTGAAATGCGTTGGCGTTAGTTGGGAATACACACCACAGGAGGAGAGAAAGCATCAACATGAGCATCGACCAAGGAGAGAAAGCATCAACACGAGCATCGACCAAGGAGAGAAAGCATCAACATGAGCATCGACCAAGGAGAGAAAGCATCAACATGAGCATCAACCAAGGAGAGAAAGCACAAATGTCCGCCACTCACCATTTCCCGTTGTTGACCTTCATCCCATCAAACGTGTTCACACACGCTCCTCCGCGTATCTTGATTCCCGACGAAACGTAATCCAGATAATAGCAATGGTCTCCGTTGAAAATGTAGTTGCACTCTGCAACATTCCCCGGATTGAAGAAATGTGTACAGTAGTAAATCCCCGCGGCGTCTTGATCGCCCGACATGTTCCGTCCAGACGCGACGATTAGATTGTTGCTGATCGTCGTCAGCATGCAATCCCCCTGGTTGTGCACATCTGCTCCGCACCGAATTCCAGCGAATAAGAAGTCGTGGATGTAGTTTCTTCTGACCATCACCCCGACTGCGCCGTTCAGAAGAATGATTGGCTGATCCACGCCTGGGTGGAGGAGGAAGTGGGGGGGGAGAAGAGGACATGTGCTGTGAGGCGAGAACGGAATGGGAGAGAACGTTGGGTGACTGATTCCAGAAGACTGACATAACCCAAAAGTAATGAGGTGAGTGATAAGCCACTCACTATGTAAGGTAGGATATACCCTTTGGCCCATGTAACCCTGCGAGTGGTAAATACCCTTACCATACACTTCATTGTTTGTAATCGCGACCCATGACTTGAGGAGAGCAGGCCCGTACCCCGAAAAGGACACTCGGATGACGCCAGGGGACTTGACGAACAGTGGTAACCCGGTACCCTTCATGCTGTCAACACGCGACGACATGGCTCGGAGGACATCAATACGCCCGTAGAAAGAGCCCTTGGCGACCTGCGTGTTGTGCACGCGCCACAGCATAATTGTAGGGCACGTGTTGCCCGACCCAAGATCCGTGTACAGGAAATCAGTACACTCCGGAGACCGCATTGTTACACCCATCCAGAAATTAATGCGTAGGATGACCACGTTGCTGGTGTTCGCTATAAGCAGCAGTGGCTGCGTGTCCCCCATATAAGCAATTTTGTAGTTTGCTTTAGCTGCGCCCGACCGGAAGATGGTGCACCGATACGCAGCGCCGAAAACAAGTCCCTTGGAAAGCGTAATGTCGTTGGCCAATTCTAAGATAACGGTCTGATTGTTGGGGTACTGTGTCCGCTTAGCAATGTCTTCTTCGGTTGTGACTGTAATGAGTATGGCGTCAGCGAGCGGAGTGCAAGGGCCCGCCGCATCCCCTACTGCCACTGCAGTGAGGGAAGAGGTGGGCGAGGAGACGGGAGAGGGAGGGGGAGGCGAGGGGAGGGGAGAGAATCAGGGAGAGAAGGAAGGAAGGAATGTGAGGGGAGAATTCGGTATCTGAACGGAACGAGGAGGTAGGGTGCCGAAACAAGAAGAGGAACGGACGCGCGGAAAGGGGAGGGAAGAAAACGGGAAGAGGAAGGAGCGACAGGGAAGGGGGAAAGGGAAGGAATGAGCGGGGGAGCAACGAAGGAGCGAATGAAAGCAGGAAGAGTGGCACTCACGCTTTCTCCTTCTCCGCGAAACGATGCCTTCTGCCACGTCATCAGTCACCTCCTGTATCGCCTCGTCTCCAGAAGTTGAAACGTACGCCTGGCCGTCCGCGTCATGCCACCACCCGCCACGTCGGCGCAGCACGCGCGCCACGTCAGCAGCCTCCGCCGGATCGGCGCTGAGGTAGCGCCGGTGCTGCAGCAATGTTGACGTGGACGAGCGAGAAGTTACCGTGCGGTGCCATTGCCGCCACGTCGTCACGAAACGCTTCAGGAAGTTGGGTTGCTGGAGGCTTTCTGAGGAGAGAGGGAGTGGGGGAGAAGGGGGGAGAGAGGGAGAAGGGGGGAGGGGGAGGGGGGAAGAAGGGGGGAGAGGGGGAGAAGGGGGGAGGGGGAGAAGGGGGGAGAAGGGGGGAGAGGGGGAGAAGGGGGGAGGGGGAGGGGGGGAGAAGGGGGGAGAGGGGGAGAAGGGGGGAGGGGGAGGATGGGAAAGAGAGCGAGGGAGAAAGGGGGAGAGGGGGAGGGGGAGAAGAGAAAACGGCAAACGCGGAGAGGGGATGGAGAGTGGAAACGGGGGCATTCTGAGACCAGGATAAGGGGAGATGGGAGAAAGGGCGAAGCGAAGTTTGGCAGACGGGACGCAGGGAAGAAAGGCGGAGATTGGAGAACATAGAGGGGGAGGTACGGGTAGCGGAAACGCGGACGGGACGACGCACGGCGAGTTGCGGAGGCTAGGGAAACGGTAGAGAAAGAGGAGCTGAGACAAGAGAGGGGCCGAAACATTGCACCAGCACCGCACCGCACCGGCTCCTGAAGCTGAACATGGGATGGTAGCGAGGACGAGGAGAAGGAGCGCTGCGAAAAGGAAGCGGTGCTTTTGCCCCATCGTAACCACTCCGTAACCTGTTTGCCGCTCCGTATAACACTTCTCCGTTATCTGGGATGGGTTGCCTAAAACCTGTTCGCCACTCTGTATAACGCTTCTCCGGAAAGAGCTGATTCAGCTGCTCCCAGTGGCGGCGTGAGGCGCTACGGAATTACAAAGCTACCATGTCAGAATGGCGTACTAAAGGGGCGCAAGGAGGTGTTTCCGCGGCAACAATGAGAGTGAAGGGGCGAATAGCGCAACTATTGTTCCGCAAGATGGGGTGTTGCACGTCGACGTTGACTATCGAATGGAACGACCAGCTACGTGTGCGGTACTGATGAGAGACTTAGTAACGTAGATACTGTGCAACTCCGCTTGCCTGAAACATAAAGCTGAGATAATATTTTAATACTGTGGGAAAGATATGCTGGTCAAGTCTAGACACCTTGTCGAGCTCGATGGATAGGCTGTGACTTGACAGGCATGAAGATGTGGTTGTGCTCTCGTAGTCTTAGCATTGGGAGTTGTGCCTACCATTAAAACCGCTACTTGTGACTCACGGAAAAATGCAGATAGGAGAGGAAGCGCAAGGTGGAAAATCCGCGAAGTAGGTCGAACATTCTGCAGTTAGGAGGGGAGGCGAGTTTGGAGGTGAGAACGCAAACGGGAGGAAAGTGGAGGGAGACGCACGACAAATTTTGATCAGCTGAGCGAAAATCGCGATTGCATCAGTTCAGCTGCGTGCGACCGAACTGGCGAATCTTGGCGAGGAATCGGAGAGAACTACTGTCGAGCCTGGATCAGTGATTGATTCTTACTCGCGTGGCCTCAAATTACTGGAGTGGCCACCAGATTTGGTGATAATTACTCGAGTGGCCACGCCAGGGGATTCATGCTGGTTTTTTTTTTACCCTGCGCATTACCCTACAAGGATTTGTATCCCTGAAACCTCTGTACTGATTAATGCGCGATCTTCAATATCCGAAATTTATGATCGTGACCCCATATGACCGCGCCTGATTGGACGCGCATTGCAAAACAAAGCACCGCGCATATAATCGACCAATCATGCGCGGTCATTAAATGTCCCGCGCATTGATATATGATCGCGGAAATATATGATCGGGCATTAATATATGATGTGCCCGACCATTAATGACCGCGCATGATTGGTCGACTATATGCGCGTCCAATCAGGCGCGGTCATATAGAATCACGAACATAATTTTCGAATATAAATCATCGACGCGAAAACATCCATTATAGATCATCGTGTAAATTTGAAAATCACGCAATTATCAATACAGAGGTTTCGGGGATACGAACCCTTGTAGGGTAATGCGCCAGGTAAATAAAAGCACCGGGAATCCCCTGGCGTGACTACTCGAGTAATTATCACCAAATTTGGTGGCCACTCGAGTAACTCGATGCCACGCGAGTAAGAATGAATCACCGACCCAGGTTCTACAGTAATTCTCTCGAAGAATCGATGGCAGGTGAGAAGTACACCCACCTATCGCGGCTCAATCCCCGCAGCAGGCAGAACCTCTTCTGATTGTGCCAAGGAACGCATCGCAGGTGATTTCGGAACTTCGTTTCCGACTTGAGCGTCCTCCGCGGAAATTACACGGACTCAGGGGAAACGGCTCAAATCGCAGATAACCTACTTGGGCTTCGACCTGAATTTCCGTGTTTCGGGAGAGGAGTCTCCGCGCAGCAGAACATTTTCACGATTTCAATCGGCTAATAGCAGCACCGTTGCGTGCAGGAAGCCCTTACATTGTTGCCAAACTTGTCAAACACAAGCAATCCATATAATACAATGCGGAATACCCAATCAAGGCCACCCAGGAAGGTCATGGATGTGCAGCTTTCCCATTCTAATGGTCGCCATGAAGCCCCATGGCATGGGCCTATTGTATGAATTGTAGTAGAACGAGTCAGGGACACGTTTCGGCCCCACTTCAGACCGTGGGCAGCTCTTGAACTTGGGGTATTTCTTATATATTATGGAGTCCTTTGAAGCGATGCCCAAGTCATTCTTCTTATAGTCGTTGAAGGCTGCTCGTCTTGGCCCTTGGATTCTCACGATGCTGTGGATGTTGAACTTCCCAGTCAGCACTGTAGGGAGCCTCTCACAGTATCTGTAACCCATTTCATAGTCGGTGGTATTCACAGCAACTAGATTGACGGTGTTGTGGGTGGGAAGGCCGCTGCAATGCCCAGTTTGAGCGCCGGTCAGTGTACCCCTTTCATCGGTGTTGCACTTCATTCCATTCACAGTCCTTGCTTGACAGATTGACTTAAACCATGGCCACTTCTGCTCGTCAACAATTAGAAAGAGTGAGGATTGGAAGGGGAGAGAAAAAAAGGGCGATTGGAAAGAGATTGAGTTGACATGGTTGATTCAACTGCCTGTCACCATACAGGATGAACAGGTAAAGAAAAGCAGACATACAGCCACTGCAACTGCAAGAAAAGGGCAGAACAGGGACTGACAGCCCACAAAGGACGCAGGCTAGCATGAATGAAACGACAGAACGAGCCACGTAGGAGCACAGCTGCGCACTCACCTGGTTGATGACGGGTGAGTTGTAGTAGTTGATCCGCATCTCCTCCCAGTAGGTCCCCGGCTTCCTGGCGCAGTTGTTGATAGTGGGCGTGTAGCACTGGCACCACCCCGGCATCCCAATCGTGCCCTTCAGAATCACATCCTCAATCACATTCCTGTGCCGGGAAAACACAGAGAACCGGGAAAGACGTTGTGAGCCTCGAAATCTTTGAGCATGTTTTACGGCGCTTCTGGCAGTCGCACGATAAGCGGACGCATGGTCCTCGGAATTGGAGTTATTTGCGTAGTGTGCGGGCGCTTACCAGTGGCCGTTGTTGACTTTCATGCCGTCGTATGTGTTGATGCACGCGCCACCGCGGATAATTACCCCCGACGTGGCGTAGTCCAGATAATAGCAGTGGTCGCCGTTGAAGATGTAATTGCACTCCGCGATGTTCCCTGTGACGAGATGCCAGGAGCGGGATCAGCGTGAGAGGAGAACACCGAGGAGCGACAGAAAAAGTTGTCACATCCATCCATGGCTGGGCCCAGCTGCTTCGGGAAGCTATGCTACCCCGTGCTAGCGTAAGCCAACCCAAATTCCAGCCACACCACACGGAAGCCTATCTTTCTCACCAGGGTTGAAAAAGTGCGTGCAGTAGTAAATCCCTGCCGCGTCGTGGTCGCCCGACATGTTCCGCCCGGACGCGACGATCAGGTTGTTGCTGATCGTCGTCAGCATGCAATCCCCCTGGTTGTACACGTCCGCATCGAATCCCCGCGAATAAAAAGTCGTGGATGTAGTTGTTCCTCGCTATAACCCCCACCGCGCCGTTTTGAAGCACAATCGGCTGGTCTACACCGTACAACTCGTTATTCGTCAGCGAAACCCAGGCTTTTAGCAGCGCAGGGCCGTAACCTGAAAACGCTACGCGAATGACTCCTGGCGACTTGACGAAAAGCGTTAACCCGGTACCCTTCATACTGTCTACACGCGTAGCCATGGCACGAAACACGTCAATCCGACCCCAGAAGCTCCCTTTCGCGACCTGAATGTTATGCGACCGCCAGATGTGGATCGTAGGGCACGTGTTGCCTCTGCCTATATCGGTGTCTAGTAGCAACTCGCATTCACCCGACCGCGCCGTCACGCCCAGCCAGAAATCCAGCTTCAGAATAACCACGTTGCTGGTATTCCACACGCGAATCACCGGCTCCTTGTCTCCCATTAAAGACACTTTGAAGTTTCTCTTTCCCTGCGCTGACCGGAAAATTGTGCAGCGGAAGGCGCCAGAGAAAACGAGGCCCTTGGGAAGGATGAGGTCGCGGGTAACTTCGAGAATGACGGTAACGGAATTGGGGTACTGTAGCCGCTTGTCGATGTCGGATGGGCTTGAAACGAGGATGACCTTGGCTTCCGAGAGGGGGGTGCAAGGTCCCTTTTGCGTCTTCTTTTCTGTCATCATGACAGGGTGAGTGAAACGGAAGTGGCCGAAGTGAAGCGATAAGGGACAGAGTTGGAGGAGGAGGAGGTAGAGAAAAATTAATGGGCCGGGTAACGGACAAGGAAAAAAAACAAAAAAAAACGTCATAAACAAAACGGGAACGGAAGAGAAAGCTAGTGGAAGCGGGACGGTCTCCATGCCACGTACGCAGTCACCGACGCCGTCCGAGAGGCGTTGCCACGTCATCAAGCGAGTGGTCGGTAGGATCGATGCCAGGAGTTAGCGAATACGGCCCGCCGTCCCCGTGGTATTGCGTGAATGACGCCAAGTCAACGTTCGCGTCAACGTTCGCGTGAATTCCCACTAAGGTAGCGCCGGTACTGAAGCCATAGCGACGTCCGTTTAGCCGCGCCAGCCGCCGATCGCGGCGGATGATGCGCTGCATGCCAGCTTCGCAGGAAGCGCCAGAAGAGATTCGTCCGAGGCGGGGAGGACAAAGGTGATTCCTGACTAAGAGACAACGCTGGTGATACCGACGACGCGGCGTGGATGTGGAGAAGGGCGACGAGCATAAGAATACTCATCCTGGTAGTAGCAACCATGGCTGAGTTGAGCCATCCTCGACTCGCCATCGCCGGGACTCGTGTCAGCTCGACTCGATAGCCAGAGTCCGTCCGTGGCGGATGGAGGGCTTGCTGCACTCGAATGGGCATCAAGCGTCGACTACTGAGGTGGATGAGGAGCGCCCGAGGTGAATCGCGGAAGAATTTTGATTCTTTGCGTGGAAACGTGACAGCATGAGGACTATCTTCAATCTTCAGTAACAAACATGGATATTTCGTAAAGCGGAAGTGGAAGTAATCCGTGTGGAAGCATACGACTGTCGAGTCAGGCAACGACGAGATGGTAACATCGTCGCTACGGTTGACAGAAGCCTGTTGTGCCTGGTGGCTTGGTTTGGTATGGAGTCGTGACGTGATTCATTAATGTGTTTCCAAACTGACCATCGAGAGAGGCACAAAACCTTCTCTCGTGTTCTCTTCTACAATCGCACGAGTCGCACGGGGTCGCTAGTTCCTCCCCACCTGGAGGAGGTGTCTCGGTCAGCTGGCAGTACTGCCGTTGGCGAAAAGAATACACGATCATGGAACATTCAGCGGCCATTATCTCCGATACTCAGATTTTGCCTGAGCGCGTTCTCAGGTGTAATCACCAACAGAATCACGGTTTCTCGATAAAGTGGGAAGCCTTGCATGTTTGTATACAGTCACTCAATAGAAATGATTCCAGCGCTTGCAAAAAATATAAAACCCGTAGCGAACCTATATGATTTCTGGGAAGGATCAACCCTAAATACCGAAAGCCGCCCAATATTTTGGAAAACATATTGCAACCCACTTGACAAAAAAAAAAATAAAACCCAATCGGAAAGGGATGCGACTCGGGAGGCATCAGCCCTAAAAACAATGCCCATTCCCGTATTTAGGGTTGACCCCTCTCGAAAATGCATCCAGGTTCCCTAGGGGTTTTATTGTTTTCTGCCATGCCCGAATAGTTCTCGGTAGCGTCGTCTAGTGCTTTCGGTAGCGTTGTTTAGCGGTCGGTTGCGCTACCGAGCACTACCAAGTGAATTATATGGGCTTCATTCTCTTACTACCTAAATTTCCGTACTATATCCAAGTCGGGAGGGACTGGATGGTTCTGTTTTTGTCACTTCCTAATGAGTTCGACCAGCGTGAGAAATGTGACTATAAATCAATGACCAATCAACGTTGAAAAAGTCCAGGTTGATTACACCTGAGAACGCGCTCAGGCGAAATCTGAGTATCGGAGACAATGGCCGAACATTCAGAACTGTCTGACAGAGGATTTCCAGCACGAGAGGAGGGTGGAGGGAGCCGCGCGACAAACTGATTCTTGAGGGTGGTTCGCATAATGATAGAACAGGCCAATCCAGGCGAGATGCCGAAAGCTCGATGTTGCCTGTGCCTGCATTCGGAGCGCAGGTGATATTCTGAACACTCGCGCGGATATTACTCCCAGGTGGGAGGATGCTTGTTGCAAGCTGGAATCGCAGACTCTACCAATCGGGCTTCCAATCCACCCACATATTCCTTCTTTTATCTGTTCCACGCTAGTGTGTCCTGGGTACAAAACGTAGCTAGAGACAAAAATTATGAGAGTGGATGTGCGGTGTAAAAATTCCAGTGTTTTTATGGTATGTGGTTAGCAGATAAGCTAGAGAATTCAACTATACATTATACTCTGAAGCACCCTATAACAAACAGAGCAAGGAATCAAGGCCAACCGGGAAGGTCATGGATGTGCAGCTTTCCCATTCTAATAACCGCCATGAAACCCCACGGCATGGGCCGGTTGTATGTATTATAGTAGAACGAGTCAGGCACGCGCTTAGGCCCCACTTCAGACCGTGGGCAGCTCTTGAAGTTGGGATACTTCTGGTATATTATGGAGTCCTTCGAGGCAATGCCCAAATCATTCTTTCGGTAGTCAATAAAGGCTGCGCGTCTTGGCCGTTGGACTCTTACGATGCTGTGGTCGTTAAACTTTCCATTCGGTACTGTTGGGAGCTTCTCGCAATATCTGTAGCCCATCTCGTAATCAGTTGTGTTAACAGCGACTAGATTGACAGTATTGTGGGTGGGAAGGCCGCTGCAGTGCCCAGTTTGAGCGCCGGTCAGTGTTCCCCTTTCGTTTGTGTTGCACCTCTTTCCTTTCACAGTCCTCGCCTCACAGATTGATTTGAACCACGGCCATTTCTGATTGCCCATGACATTGAATTGGATGGCGAGACGAAGCGCGAGGGGTGGAAGGGGAGAGAGGAACGAGGGCAAATGGGAATAAATACATATATGATAACCTTTGTTGCTGTAAGAGATAAAGAGGGCAAGAAACACAGACATACAGTGACTGAAACAGCAAAGACATGGAATGAAACGTGGATTGACAGTGTCCAAACAAATAGCAAACATGAACAATACAACAAAACGAGGCACGTCAGAGCAGGGCTGTGCACGCACCTGGTTGATAACAGGCGAGTTGTAGTACTTAATGCGCATCTCCTCCCAGTAGGTGCCAGGCTTCTTGGCGCAGTTGTTAAGAGTGGGCGTTAAGCATTGGCACCATCCCGGAATGCCCACCGTGCCCTTTAATATCACATCTTCAATTACATTCCTGGGACGCACACAGACGTTGAAACATGTCCTAAGCCCCGAGAGCAAGGTCTGACTTAGGCGTGATACATGGAGCTTCGGACAGTGGGCATGATCAGAAAAGGCATAACTTGCGGGGATACAGAACCATGGGAAACGGACCGTCGCTTACCAGTGGCCGTTGTTGACTTTCACGCCGTCGTACGTGTTGATGCACGCACCACCGCGTATAATCACTCCCGACGTGGCGTAGTCCAGATAATAGCAGTGGTCGCCGTTGAAGATGTAATTGCACTCCGCGATGTTCCCTGTGACGAGAAGCCAGGAGCGAGACGAACGTGAGAGGACAACACCGAGGAGCAAGAACAGAGGTCATTGGCCCGTCTCGCTCAACCATGACCAGGCAACGCTGCCACTGGCGGTTGTGCAACTGCCATGCTGCGCACCACACCTCATGTATGCCAACCTGCCCATCTACTCACCAGGGTTGAAAAAGTGCGTGCAGTAGTAAATCCCTGCCGCGTCGTGGTCGCCCGACATGTTCCGCCCGGACGCGACGATCAGGTTGTTGCTGATCGTCGTCAGCATGCAATCCCCCTGGTTGTACACGTCCGCATCGAATCCCCGCGAATAAAAAGTCGTGGATGTAGTTGTTCCTCGCTATAACCCCCACCGCGCCGTTTTGAAGCACAATCGGCTGGTCTACACCGTACAACTCGTTATTCGTCAGCGAAACCCAGGCTTTCAGCAGCGCAGGGCCGTAACCTGAAAACGCTACGCGAATGACTCCTGGCGACTTGGCGAAAAGTGTTAACCCGGTACCCTTCATACTGTCTATACGCGTAGACATCGCACGGAACACGTCGATCCGACCCCAGAAGCTCCCTTTCGCGACCTGAATGTTATGCGACCGCCAGATATGGATCGTTGGACACGTGTTATCTCTGCCTATATCGGTGTCTAGTAGCAACTCGCATTCACCAGACCGCGCCGTCACGCCAAGCCAAAAGTCCAGCTTCAATATAACCACATTACTGGTGTTCCACACTCGAATCACCGGCTCCTTGTCTCCCATTAGAGACACCTTGAAGTTTCGCTTTCCCTGGGCTGACCGGAAAATTGTGCATCGGTAGGCGCCGGAGAAAACGAGTCCCTCGGGAAGGACGAGGTCGCGGGTGACCTCGAGAATGACGGTGACGGAATTGGGGTACTGTAGGCGCTTCTCGATGTCGGACAGGCTTGAAACGGGGATGATCTTGGCTTCCGAGAGGGGGGTGCATGGTCCCTTCTGCTTCTTCGTTTCTGTCATCATGACAGAGTGGGTAAAACGGAAGGGGGCCGAGACGTGTGAGAAGAGTTAGAGGAGAGGAGGTAGGGAAGACGTATGGACCGGTGAATGGGCGGGAAAGACAACAAACACGCAAGAATAAGAAGGGAACGGAAGAGAAAGCTAGTGGATGCGGGAGGGTCTCCATGCCACGTACGCAGTCGACGACGCCGTCCGAAAGGCGTTGCCACGTCATCAAGCGAGTGGTCGATGGGATCGATCCCAGGAGTCAGCGAGTACGGCCCGCCGTCCCCGTGGTATTTCGTAAACGATGCCAGGTCAACGTTCGCGTCAGCAGGATTCCCACTCAGGTGGCGCCGGTACTGAAGCCATAGCGACGGCCGCTTCACCGCGCCAGCCACCGATCGCGGCGGATGATGCGCTGCTTGCCAGCTTCGCAGGAAGCGCCAGAAGAAATTCGTCCGGGCCGCATCAAGCGGAGGGGATTCTTGACCCAGAGACGAAGCTGGTGATACCGACGTCGCGGCGTGGAGGTGGAGGAGGAGGACAAGCATAAGAACGCTTATCCTAGTAGTGGTAGCAGCCATAGCTGAGCTGGCACGGCCTGGCAGTCGCGCCATCATCCGGAGTCGCCTGCACTCGACTCGACGGCCAGAGTCAGTCCGCAGCCGAGCGAGGATCGCGGCACTCGAGACGACCCAAGCTTCAACTACCAATGGTAACGTCAGGCTAGGTATCTGAGGTCGAGGAGGATCGTGGATGCTCGATCTCTCGAGGTGGGGAAGGGTGCAGCCGACGACAATCGTCAATTACCAATACCCCAGCCGACGACAATCGTCAATTACCAATACCCCAGCCGACGACAATCGTCAACTACCAATACCCAGATGTGGGCTCTCCGCCGACACCGCAATAGCAGGAGGGAAGTCTGCCGTGTGATGTCGAACCGTGGCTGTCGAACCGTCCTGAACTGCCTTACTGTGAGACGGCGGAATTGTTACGTAAATGGTTACTACCTTTTCGAGAAGCCTGTCGCACGACGGAACCAATACTGCAAAATGTAAATGTGATTTCAAAGAGGACGTGCACAAGCGTCGAAACAGATCTCGCTAGGTAGGGTTAAAGCCGGAAGCCCAAATTGCACAAGTTTTAAAAGGATGACGCGAGGGGTTTTTTCTGGTTTGGGTTTTGGCGATTGATTTCGATTTCGGGCATTTCGTTTTTTTTCGCCAAACCCAGCCAGCCCACGTATTTCGCCCTGGGGGTTGTGTCAGCACCCGAAAGTCCCAAATTGCAGGTGCGCTACTTTTCAAAGCTTGCACACTGCACTTCGTCAAGTTTTAAAATCATGACCCACGCGCCTCGCAATTTGGGACTCGGGCTTTAAGACAGTCGTGATGGCACTGGAAAAGTTTACGCTGCGGCGCTCGACACAGGCTTGAGTTGGTGACTCGCGCAAGGATAGCTTGGAGCTTTTGGAATTTGGAATTGCTCCTCCCGCGCGGCGTCTCACATTTACGAGTCGCGAGGAATCGTCTCCTCCTCGGTTCCTCCCCACCTGGGGCTTCACCTAGCCGGGGGAGGTGTCTTGGTCGGCTGGGTGGGTGAGTGTGGTTGGCGAAAAAACTTCATGCATCCATCGCCCCAGTGCCCCGAGTCCCCGACGAGGCGACGTGTACAGTAAGAGCATGGGTGGGAAGAGAACCGAACCAGTGAAGGCAAGCCCCACACATCGCGGGAACGAGGGCAGACCAAACAAGACGTACAGTGTGCGACGCGAAGCACAGCAATGGCGGTGCATCCATCGTCCCCCCCAATCCAATGTTGTGGCCATCCTTCTGTGCTATTCAGTCAGCCTCGGCTTTGCTCCTCGCAACCTTCCCTTGGCCACAAGTTTTGACAAGATCCATGCAGGAGAACTTACATAGGTCTGTGGTCGAGACACCTGACCTGATATACGCCAAGACCTGCGGACTCAGCTGGAAAAATAGCTGCGACCTGGGATGGGATGCATCAAATTTGACACGAAGAGTCCCGAAGCAGGCATATATACACCCTCTTTCTGGTTCAGCTTATCACGCTTTAAAACAAAAAAATCTGTTGGTACTCTCTCTACTTGCATTTGACAAGCGCCCCAGCCCAGCAAGCTATGACTGCTGAAATTGATGCGAAGGTCATGAATGTAAGATAATTTATAATCAAACATTGATAACAAATATATGGTAACGATAGCACGTGATCTGTTGAGGTGCCGACACGGAGGCTTACGAATTAGGGGATCATCTGTGGCATAGGGCTGTGATAACCAAGCCATTTTTCCTTTGTCTCCTCTGCAGGGTACACAACAGCCATTGGGAAACATGATCATTCTCCAAGCATCCCCACACCCTCCCCTGTTTTTGCAGAGGAAAGAGAAGGTGGAGGGCGAAAGGGGGAGGAACTGGAGGGGGAGAGGGAAGGAAGGTTGGAGGAGGGGTGAGGGGGCGGGCGGGAGATGGTCTTCCAAGGAGTATATTGGATTCATTCCAAGTTCTCAATTCATAGACAGTGTTTGAGCAATGTGTCTTACTCTTGGCTGTAGCCGTAACGATGGTTTGCATATAGCCTAGCCTACTCGACATGTACTTTGTCCAGGAGGAACCACCAGCACCAGTTTGTTCACCCTGAGGCATGCTTCGCACTTGGGACTGCTTTCAGCCTACTCCCCTGACATCCCAGACGGCATTGCTTCTTAGCTGAAGAAGCGAACTAAAGAGGGCAGTATGCATAATTCCAACATCTAAACGGAACAATCCGTAATGAATGCCTAGCTCACAAGTTCCAATGCTCAGTGCCAAGTAGCATAACAGCAACGACGCTTTCACTAAATACGAGGATATCTCGTGTTGGCTTCAGGAAGTTCCCAGCATCCACACGAACCTACTTTTTGACTCCGACAGCCGGCTAGTAACCCTGGCCGATGAGGTAATCGCCCATGTTCTCAACAACCACATTCGTGTCACCTGCCGTTGCAGGCTCTTCGAAAATGCCGAAGACCAACGCACTGCCAGTCTTCTTGATGCAGCAACCACCGGCTTTCCGGCCCTGCAATAAAACCAACGAAGTGAAGGACTCCGATTCAGAGAAACAGTAAACAATGAAAGCTGCGACGGCGATAGGGACGCGAAAGAACGAATTAGTACCTTTGCCTTGTCTTCGCCGTTTCTGCCACGAACGACATTGCCAGGGTCACCTGCCACCATCATGAACTTCTCTGTACCCAGAAATAGACCATTTGACGCAAGCGGCGTCTGTGGGTTGTCGAACGCGTCCACAATAGCGTCGAACTGCGTTTTAGTCACCTGATAATTGGGGGGGTGAGTGAGTTAGTTCACGCGTCAGCAGAGATTAAAACCAGAGCTATACGATGATCTGATCTTACCGCAGGCATTGCAGCGCTCTGCGCCCAACAGGTACCATCCTCCAGACCATAAAGTGCAGCCGCCTTCAACGTCCCTCCGTGCGGAAGGGCACACATGAGGTGATCATCGACGTAGGATTGCCAAGACATGGTTGGATGAGGATAGAGAGTAGGGCTGGTGTGGTTGTTCGCAAGAATGTCAGATGTAGGAATCCGCTGGAGGAATTTTGGTGCTGGAATGTAGGGTTTGAGAATGCTGGGTGATGATGGAAGACCTTTCTTCCCCCTCTCCGCGCTCGAGAAATCCCACGCAGCCCCACCCGCCCCATGCGCGTGCTTTGCGGGGCCATCTCCGCAAACCCAACCCGCGAGCGGAAGGCTTCGCCTGAGGGGCGGAGAGCTTCACCCAAAAGGCCAAGAAATTCCAGAGCGGCGAAAATCAGGGGTCCCGTCCCGTTGATGCAGCACGGGGCTGGCCATGGTACGGTAATCTGGGCAACATTGCCACGCGGCAACCAGTGAATGGTGTTGTCCACGCCAGCATCCAAGATTCTGCTGACCACACCACCAATGACTAGAGCTTCCAGATGGCACCCTCCTCCAGAAATCTGAACATGTCCAACTACCATTCACGACATAGGTAAAATTGCAACGATAAAAAATGCCTCAAGGTCTTCATACAATACATCCTTAACAGCACATATGAGCTGGCTCCTCGTGTTTATAAAAAAAAAAAAATCAATAAATCCATCTTTGACCCCATCTCTCAGCCTGCGCAGCAACATGGGCAGATTGTTCGCAAGGTGAGTTTTTCAGCCAAGGAGAAAGAAAAACGGAAAGATAAGAATTGCAAATCCCTCTCGGAGCAACGTACGGTAGAGAGTGCAGATCAATTCGCTCAACGCAAAACCCTATGGTTGCTTGGGAGGGAGCTTTTGGCATTGGCTTAAGCAACAGGGAGTCGTAAAGCTACATATAGCGATGCGACAGAGAGGTAGGGAGGGGTACTTGTTTAAATCACTTGGGGCTGGTATTGGTGTGGCTTTGCAGATGTAACTCTCGGGGTCATGAGCACTTCTGGCGGATGGAAGACGGGAAGGAGCAAAGACCAACTGAATGGCATCGTCAAAGCAGGTGTAGGCAAAGCCAATAACATCTGCGCCAAGAACAATGGGGTCGGTAACGAGGGAGGAAATGACATGGGAGACCGTAGGGCGTGCGGCAAGAAGAAAGCCAAAGAACAGAGGAGAGGAGACTACAATGGAAGACGTAAGAGGCGACAAGAGGACAGGGGGTTGCGGAGCACAAGAAACGCAAGAACGGAAAGTAATAGGTTGGACAATAGAAAGAGGAGACACGGGGCAAGCAAGAGAGGGACGACGGGGGTGAAAACAATGCGGAGGAGGACGATCCGAAGACTAGACCTGCGGAGGAACTGTGGGACCATAGACTGAGAGAGATGGTGGGGGAGGAGCAGGAGGTCGGTCAGTCGAGCCAAAAGATAGATGAAGAAAACAAAGTTGCAGCCGGTCGCGGCAAAGGCGGCTGCTGATGCTGCGGCAACGAATGTGGCCGCTGCGGCGCCGGACGTCCAACGCTTGCGGCACCCCAAGTACCAGTATACATGCAGCAGCACACCCAAAACCAGCACCCCGAGAGCCGACACCTAAAACGGCATTACTCAAAGACCAACATGCCCAGCGGCTGCACCCGCAGAGTCTACAACGACCGGCCGCGGTGGCTGCGGCAAATGCGAAGATAACATTAGAAGCAAAGTCAGTACCCTCAGACATACGTGCACGCCCCAATGTACCAACACCTTTACCTCCTCCACGACCCCGACCACCCTTATGCCATCCTTGTCCACCAAAGGGGGCAGAAACGGCAGTGACCTCCATTGTGTCTGTAGGCTCAGCAACAGCAGCAAAGGCAGGTGGGGTAGGGAACTGGGGCGGAGCTCACCTCCCAAAGATGGGGGGGGGAGGGGGGGGTGGTCTATCGCACAAGTGGTGGAAGCGATGGTGCGGAAGAGACGAGTCCCAAAGATACCGATAGTAAGGTTTCATGAGGTGCATGGCGAGGAGGGTGACGAGGACAGGCGGGAGGCAGGCCGATAGAAAGTGCAGGGTGTTGTGAATGGTAGCTAGTACTTAGTAGCCATAGTTAGGGTTTTGGGTACTAGCAAGAGAGAAGAACAGCAGAAGGGGGTTTCCACTAGCAGCAGATAGGATACATATGGCAAACCCTAACAGGGTTGTACTCATTACAGAGTACCCCACTGCAGACTAGAGAAATATAACATTCTGACACAGGGTGGCATACATGGGGGGGGGGGGGAGGGGGGGGGGTTAGCAAGGTCGTCAGCAGTGCAATTAGTGCGAAAGCTAATGTCATTTGAGCGCAGGAGGGTTGATAGTTCAACAACAGTGGAGAAATCATGGAGATTAAGAAAGAAAAAGGGCATGAGGAGGTGCCATAGAACAGCTGAGGAGGGGGTGGAGTAGCGAGCAACCATATCATCAAGACAAGCATTTGCCGTCTCGACCTGGCGAAAGAGCACCCGCTCCTGCAAGCCGTAGGGAGCGACTAAGCGCAAGGCACATAGCATCTTCACGCAACTCCCAATTCGAGTACACAAGCGGGGCCATGCAGTAAGCCTTCTGCTCCTCCAACATGGGCTTAGTAGTAAGAGTAGCCGGACGCTGAGAGCCAGATAGCTCACACAACACGCGGCCATATAGGGAGACGTCGTTCTGGCGCTGGCTCCGCATGTGGAGCTTGACATCGAGCAGCCACGCGTCAAAAGTCGAGCCCGCCTCTCCACATCAAGCCACGTGACGAATTCAGACGCCATGACAGGAGTGAGCAGGGGCATAGCTGCAGTGGATGAGAGGGACCACTATAGGCGGAGGAGGAGATGGTCAGAAGCAAGCATGCAGGCAGCAGGCGACGCGGCCTCGCGAGGGCGGTAGTGTGTTCGTAGTTGAAGGCGCGACAACGTCGAGCAGCAGTAAGCGCAGCGGTGGGCAGCAATTGCAGGCGCGGCTGCGTGCAGCAGCAGCAACAGGTGCAGCGATGACGCGGCGACGTGCAGCAGCAGCAGCAGGTGTGGTGGTTTACATCAGCAGCAGGCATGGCGATGGGCAACAGCAGCAGGAGGCGCAGCGATGTCGAGCAGCAGCAGGTGTAGCGGCTGGCAACGACTGCAGATGTGGCGGCGGGCAGCACCGGCAGGCGTGGCGACGTTGAGAAGCAGCAGGCACGGCGGTGGGCAATAACGACAGGTGCGGTGTCGTCCAGCAGCAGCATGCGCGGTGACGTCCAGTAGCAGCAGGGGTGGTGAGTAGCAACTGCAGACACGGTGACGGGGCCGGGACGGGGGCGTGACACGGCGAATGGGGAGGAGGGGGGTGGGAGGGAGAGGGGAAGTGGGGGGGGGGGGGGGGTCTCAGAATAGGAATGCAACGGAATGGTGGAAACTAGAAAGTGTGAGAGTACAAATATGCAACCCTAACAACTGTACTCCCTATTGTGCCACTCACTATAGCCTACAAGCATAGAATTACATTTGACACACCCCCATAGGCCAAATGAGGGGCATCAAAGCAAGCAAGGTGAACAAACAGTCACAAGACCAGTCAAAGTAAGAAACAAGGCAAGCTCAGGGTGGATCTCAAGGACACCACACAAATTCCGAGCGCAAGCAAGCGGCCACAATGCCAGTTCAAGAGTTCACTAGGATATAAATAGGAAGCACAACAAGCAGAGCAAACAACAAGACTACAGCAACCGAGGGCCTACCTCAACAAGCCCCAACTGCACACAGAACCTGTGGTGATCACCAAGCGCCAAGGCCTTGGTGAAGACGTCTGCAGTGTTGGCCTCTGAGGCCACAAAGTCCAGGCGTGCCTGGCCGCGTCGCTGCAGCTCTCGCAGGAGGAAGTACCTCACGTCAATATGCTTCACTCTGCTCTCCAGTCGAGGCTCTCGACATAGGAGGATCATGGCCTTGTTGTCAGCGTACAAGGTCGATGCAGAGCGAGGCCGCTCACCAAGGTCGGCGAGCAAGAAGGTCAACCAGCGAAGCTCCTGTGCCGCCATGGCACCAGCGTAGATCTCTGCCTCTGCACTGGAAGTAGCCACAGACGACGACCGTGTAGACCTCCACGACATAGCACCAGCTCCCAGACTGAAGCAGTAACCCTGAGTCGAGCGCTGAGTCTCCACGTCGTCAGCGTAGGAAGAGTCGCAGTGACCAGTCAACGCCACTGTCTGAGTCCCTCCAAGCACAAGCCCCATGCCTGATGTAGTCGCCAGGTACTTCGCCACCCTCATAGCAGCTGTCCAGTGGACAGGACGGTGTCTCCCAGTCGCAACAAAGCAAGAGAGGATGCTGAGGGGAAAGGCGAGGTCCGGCCGAGTACAAGTCATCAGGTACATGAGGCAGCCCACAAGCTCTGCGTAGGGACCACTGGGCTCAAAGGGCTCGTCAGGAACGGGGCCAATGAGTCGGTGGTCAATAGCAAGCGGAGTGGGCTGTGTGGTGGAGAACTGGAAGTCGAACCGCCGAAGGACCTGCTGCACCATGTGTGACTGCGTCAGTGTGATGGTGCGAGCGACTCTGTCCCTGGTGATCTGCAAGCCAAGGTAGCGCTGCAGCTCACCCATGTCAGTGCACTTGTGTCTCTTCTGCAGTTCGGACTTCACCTGAGCCAGTGCTGCCCTGTCTGCGGTAGCAAACACCAAGTCGTCGACGTAGACAAGTATAAAGAAAGGAGTAGAGCCCGCTTGAACAAACAGCGACGGGTCGGCGGAGGACGGGCTGAACCCAAGGTCACGAAGCGTGGAGCGAAGAGTGTCGTGCCACTCACGGGGCGACTGGCGGAGACCGTAGACTGGTCGCCTCAGGCTCCACTGGGTCCCAGGTGGGAAGGTGTCAGTGAAGCCAGGAGGACGGCGCAGCCAGATCTCCTCGTGCAGTCGGCCCTGGAGGAACGCAGTGGAGAAGTCGAGGGAGTGCAACTCGTAGTCTCGTTGCGCTGCTATGTGGAGTAGCACCCGAAGAGTAGTCATCTTCGGGGTCGGGGCGAAGGTCTGGAAAAAGTCAACTCCCTCACGCTGACTGAAGCCCCTAGCCACGTAGCGCGCCT